GCAGAGAACAGACTCGATGATTCCTCTGTAGAACTGGATCAGCAGCTCCTGAGGCAGGTCGAACTTCCTGAGCTGGTACAGGAAGTTCATCCTCTGCTGTGACTTCCATTCGAGTGTGCAGACAGTTTGATCCACAGTGGATTAATGGGAAAACTTTGATCAGCTCAGGTATTCATGTTTGGTAGCGTCAGTCACCAAGAAAACAGACTGTTCACTCTGTAAAGAGGCTGCAGCCATGCTAGCAGCTGTGTCAGAATCAGAATCTGCTTTATTGGCCAGGTGTGATGGACACACGAGGAATTTGACTCTGGTACATCGGCTCAATGTGCAAACAGTAAACCAACATAAGGTTGTGTAATATAACAAAAAGAAGGAGTATTTACAGGCAACAGAAAGTGCAAACAATGCAGAATAAGCAGTATGAACAGACAGTAACAATGCCGACAACAAGGAATGTTCTTTGAAATGAGATAATTAGGGATAAAAATAGAGGAATTAAAACACTAGAGACCTGTACAAGTCTATATAATCTGTACAATGTGTATATATACAGGTATTGCACTGTCAGGATGAACTCTGAGCTAACCGCTAACATTAGTGTGCTAACATTCTGATGTTGGACAACGTATGTACACGTCGATCTGATGATGGTGGCTAGTATGAATGAGTTATATTGTGTCATAAAGTGTTGCTAACTTCCTGTTCAGGCCGGCACAGTGAACCGGGGCAGCGAGGTGATCGCAGGGGGGATGGTGGTCAATGACTGGTGTGCGTTCTGCGGCCTGGACACCACCAGCACTGAGCTGTCCGTCATCGAGAGCATCTTCAGACTCAGCGACACGGCACAGCCCTCGGCCATCGCCACCAGTTTGAGGGACTCGCTCATCGACAGGTAATTAGAACACACACACATACACACACACCGTGTACACACACACACACACCGTGTACACAGTCATCGAGAGCATCTTCAGACTCAGCGACACGGCACAGCCCTCGGCCATCGCCACCAGTTTGAGGGACTCGCTCATCGACAGGTGATTAGAACACACATACACACACACCGTATACACACACACACACACACGCACACGCACACACAAACCATTTATCAAAACATGACGATAATAATATTTATCATTGGGGTCAAAACTGTCTTGCGATATCAGTACATAACAGCCAGAGCAGCAGCCATCCTGAAGGGGCGGGAGGGTGAAATTAGCAGAGAAGATGCCCCCGCCACTTTATGTTGACTTTGAGGAAAGGAGTTCCGTTGGTCACACACAGATCAGTGTTTCCCACACATTGATTTATTTGAGGTAGGCTGCTACAATATCAGCACTGACCGCCACATATTGAGCTGAAATAGGTTCAATCTTATTTCACTGTAGTGCCGTGCGTAGCGCATGTATTCCCTCAGTAACTTTATGCCCAGCTCTGTTTCTCTCTCACACACAAACTCATGACAACAGATCGTCTGTGAACAGCTCCTTCTCTCTGTGTCGCTGTCAGTACAGATCCAACTCTTCTAATATCGCTAGCTAGGCTAATGTTAGAATACAGCTGTTGGCGAGGTCAGCACGCTGGATGGATGTCCAGTCCAGGGGAATATCAAAAAACATGGGAACGCTGATCAGTCCGATCAGTGTGATTAGTAATCCAATTGATTTGTTTTGAATATTTATTGGTTTCAACTAAAGCTGCTGAAACAACAAGAGAGGACCAGGAAGAGAGAGCTGGAGAGAGAGATGTAGGAGGAATACATTTGCAGCAAACTTTGCTTTGTATCCTGGGTTAAATGTCAGTTGATGGCCTAAGATGCCATTTATGTCCATTTGGAATTAAACCTTTCAACACAAAGTGTGCAGGGCGAATACTTTGTGTCACTGCTGGAAACAAGTGTTGCTTCACTTCAGGATATTTACAGCTTTAGACTCATTAACAAATGGTTAACAGTTCCAGAATTCACACCTGTTTATGTGGTTGTGAGGATGAGCTCCTTTTCAGTTGCCACACCTGACATGCAAGCTGTCAGCACACTGTACGTGTGTAATAGATTCTCAGTGAAGTTGCTGATTAAATGAACTGCGAGAAACCGTTTGTAACACTTCTGTATAACTTTTATGTACACAGTCCCACAGAAATGGTTGTAACACTCAACCTTCACACCATTTGTGGCTCATTAGTACTTGTTCTTCACACACTGCTCCTCGCTGCCCCCACACACACATACATATATATTAACATGTGTAATGCTTTTCTTTTCTCACAGCTAAAGAACGTGTCTCTGCAGCTGTCTGTTGTCCACAGGCTGCCCTCTCTTCATTCTATCACTACTCAACACGTGCAGCCTGGTTTAACTTGTTTTTAAATGATACGCACAAGCCTCCCTTGTTACATATACACACCCTAGACATGATTATCTGCCCTGTTACTTATTATTGTAAATAGATCCACTGTCTGCAGCTACACAGGCTGTCTCCTGTAAAACAGGTATGAAAATGGAGTTGTTGCCTTGAGGTGTCTGTGTTTAACACTCCTGTTTGTGCTGTAGCAGCTGCTTAGCTTAGCATAAAGACAGGGAACAGGAAAAACAGCTAGCCTAGACGTTAGCTTCATCATGTGGACACACACACGGCTCCACATGAAGGATCATGCTGCTTTGGAACTTGTCTAGAAATATTTAGACAAAATTTAATTTCAGTTCCTGGCAGTAGCACATCAGTTGTATTTTTTTGTTATCCGTTGGCAGCAGTCAGGTGTGTGACTAAAGGGCAGATCCTACCTTCTGCATCTGTGTGTCCACTAAGGGCAAGTGATGTAATTTGATTAGCCCTTTACTGTTCCTGTATTTTTGTCTGTTCACTGGTCATTTCTGTTGCTTTTATAACTAATTTGTGTTTGTTTCCTTTTGTGTTTTTCATGTCTGTTTCTCCTCAGCATGGCGTAAGTCGCCTCTGCAGTTTCCTGCCTGGTCTCACTCATGAAGCCAACAAGCTGCTGGACCTCATGGCTCAGCTTAAAACAAATCCTTCCACACACTTCAGTTCAGTTCACTCAGAAGTCACAGCTCCCACCTGCTCACTTTGGACCTTTTTTAGCATTTGGTTTCATCTTTGTAAAATGTTCTGGCTCTGCAAAGAACTCATCTGTTTCCAGGGTGGATAGAGAAAACAGCTCACCACCTCATCTCTAATTTTGAATGTGGCTGGTGGAAATAATTGTTTTTTCAGAGCCTTAAAATTAATGTGATGGTAAGTTTGCCAAAGACCTTGTTTCAACAAGGTAAACACGGTAGAGAAATGCTTTGACTCAGCCTTCTGTTTTAACAAACAGGTAGAAACAACAGTTTGGATAGAACAGGGCTGTGCTAAAATGAAATGAACATTAGACTTGTTTCTGTGCCTGTATCTGTTAAAAAAAATCACAGAAAGTGTCTAAACTCAGTCTCTGGGCTGGATGTGATTCTTCACCCTGAACTGCTGCAGCAGCGGTGGAGGCAGCTCTGATGGCTGACAGCACCTCAGCAGGCTGGCGCTGGACACTCGCTCTGGTTCCTAAACTCTTACAACGCACAGCCACCTGTATAACCATCCCAGATATCAGCATTTATCTGAGGCTTGAAGAACGAAAGCCGCTGTTGATTTAGTCTATGGGCCTGTATATCAGCATTTATCTGAGGCTTGAAGAATGTAAGCCGCTGTTGATTTTGTCTATGGGCCTGTAAGAGGCACAGATTCATCTTAAAGTGAGGGCGTTACTGAACCTGTAGGAGTGACTCTTGATCTGAATGGAGTGCTTAAAAAGCTGCTTTTTGAGGTTTGAAATCGTGATATTTGGTGTCCAGCAAACTTGACAGTGAACCTCATGCAGTGTGATCAATATACAGAGGTGTCTGTGTACGTTTACATGACATAAAAAAGATCAAGGCAGAGCTGCATGTTTTTCTTCAGACTCATCTTGATCCTACAAACTGACATCAGTTTTTGGTAACAGATCCAGGGTCTGCCTGGTGAGCATGGTGTCTCATCTCTTGTAAAATAAAATACACCTCTTTTTATTAGTTTCGTGTATTTTTGAGGTGTCTTAAAAATCCAGGAGCCTCAGAACTAGTTGCAGTAGAGCCGAAGTGATGCGTTGACGCATAAATAGAAAAGTAATGGGCAAAACTAATTAAACACTTCAGCAGACGTAATGGAAAACGCTATAATTTCTTGGGTTCCATCTTCTCAAATGTTTGTCTTTGTCCAAGTCTCTGGGTTTTGACTTGGAAGGGCCAAAGACATTGGAAGATGTGACCCTGTGGGAAGCTGTAATTTTTCACTGTATTCTGACTATATATATGATTTTATTTCTTTCCTCTTCCATTAATGTGATGACCCCTAATAGTTATGTGATGGGGTTTGTAACCACTGAACTAAACTCGGTGTACAGTATATAGTTAAACCGAGTTCCAACAGTAAAATACACTGCTCAGTATTAATCAAATATCATACATCAGTCACAGGGAACTTTGTACTGCCGATACTTCTGTAATTACACTGCTCAGTATTAATCAAATATCATATATCAGTCACAGGGAACTTGGTACTGCCGATACTTCTGTAATTAGGTGGGATTGTGAAGACAATGTCTACTTGTAAGAGTATTTTCACAATATACTGATACTTTTACTTTAGTAGATCTGAGTACTTCTCCCACCACTTTATATATCCTGTAGTAACGCAGACAGAATGAGCCAACGAAAAGCAAACAGCCAAACCTCGTTAGTGAAAAACATAAAAGACAAAAACAGAAACCGCATTCAAGGCAACTTCTCTATATTTATTGGCGAATGCTCTGAGGTTGTAGCAGTGCGTTTACGTACACACCGTGTGAGGAAGCCAAAGAAAACACACCTTGTAATACAACTTGATTATATGATGGTTTATATGCACTTTTTTTTTTGTTTGTTTCAAACATACACATACATTTACTTCAGTTTTTGGTTTGGGAAACATCTAGAAAGACTTTTCTAAATAAAAAACAATGATAACATTAATATACATTTATTTTAAAAAATTCAAAGCATGCGAAATTTATAGTGCATCACAACCTTTTGTCTAAACTTTTATTTAACAAAGGCAGATGAACAGAAAGAGGAAGATGCAGAAAGAGAACTTGTATAGATACAGCGATTACTAAAGAAAATGGACTTTTTTAAAATAATTGTATTAATTTATGTGCAAAAGAAGCTCAGTTCTTACATTAAATAGATTTTCTTCTGTCTAATGCTCAGCTCTATGCTACTGCGACACGCTCCATGTTCTCACAGGCCCTCGTTTATGGGGCCAGGAGGAGGCGTCGCCCTCGAGCTGGAGGAATGATATTAAAGCAGAGCCACACTTCAGCTTTAGTGGACTCTGATTACATCTGACTTCCAGCACAGGCTGCATCAGCTCTGCTCCGTTCACACGGGGAGAACATTTTATTGGCTATCCCCGCCCGGCCAAAGAACAAACGTTAGTGTGTGAAGACAGAAACATCCCCGTGTAGTTATTGTGACCCTGGTTTGCCCGTGTGGAGACGTCCCCCTTTTGTGCTGCCGCTCCTGACCAACAGTGTCAGACAACTGCTCGCGTTCTCATGTCCTACATCTATTATTTCACTCTGGGAGAAACATTGCTTCTGAAACAAACCAAACCAAGTATGAAAAGCAACCTAGCATTGAGCTTGGTGAGTGTTGGAGTGCAGCACAGCCCCCCCATTCTCACTCCGACCAACTAAACTCTACTGGCTATTTATGACATTAACTGGGGGGAGCCTTGTGCAGGAAGACAGGTGAGCAGTGGTGCTACAGGTGTAGTGTCTTTATGGGGTGAGCAAAAAGCCATAAACTTCAGTCTGTGATTAACAGCTGTGAACAAACTGCTGACCCCTGACAGGAAGTCGCAGCGTGAGGCTACGTTTAGTTTTTTATTACAGCAGCTTTATGGTGGGGCGGGGGCTGCAGTAGTGTCATGGGCAGACAGATGATGTATGTGATGAACAGCGGTACACAACAGTGCTGCTGCTCTTGTGTCTTTCAAACCTGCAAAGGGATAAATACTGCACATGAAGAATGAATAAATGCTAATAAGTGGACGAGGGCTCCAGCCTGAGTGTCAGCTGCTCAGTAGCCAGTTGGCAAGGTGACCTTCAGGCTGATGCTAAATGTGTGAATGCAACACTCAGGACCAGCTACATGACACATACTAAACCACAGCTGATATTTCAAACTAAAAACAATATTAAAACCTAAATCAGAAGGTAAAAAACAATCACTGCAAGTTTTCTAGCTTGTACCACTGCTGATAAAATGATGAGAATATAGAGTGACAGTAAATTAGCGGATTTGTTTGAACCTGGCTGTGCTGTGAGAAGACATCCTGAACTGTGAGTGGCTCTCAAACCACTGCCCAGTTTCAAGTTTAGCTTGTCCTGTTTGTGTATAAGTGTGTTTTAAAGAATGAAAATCCATCAATCAGTAGCACTGTTGTGGAACTTTACAGCTTCCAAACTCCAGGTCATGATTGGTCTGTCCCACCCTTTCAAAATAAGAGACCACAGTCTGCTTGGGACCAACATTAAAAAAGAGAAAATAAAAGTAGAAGCACTGAGGAGTATGACAGGTCTGGTTCTGGTTTCTAACTGGGGGTGGGAGACGCCCTCTGGCTGGGCTACGACGGAGAGGGAGAGACTCCGACGGACAGGGTGCTGCTACTACGTGGGCCTGCAATGCTATTAAGTGGAGTAGATCGTGGGGTTTGGTGGTTTCTGGTCAGCTCGCTTTTCCCCTCAAGCACCCCACTCTACCCTCTCCCCCTCAATCTCCAAGCACCTGAAGATACAACTGCTCTCCCTCTCCCTCTCATCTCCCTCCCTAGCAGCCAAAGGTCTCTTGCGAGGCGTAGACCATGTAGAGGAAGCCGTCCTCGTCCCTCTCCTGCTCATAGATCTCAGAGATGGGTGTGGACACGGACACCATGCTGTGCTGGTTGACCAGCAGGAAGAAGGCCTGTGTGGGGTTCAGCTGCAGCCGACGCCTGGGTGGGGGCAGGGTGAGGGTGAGGACAACGAGAGAGAGAGAGGAAAAGAGAAGTTAATGTGACATTACTGACTCCTGGTTGAACAGGATGTGTTTTTGGGTGTTAGTGCTTCAGCTTCTTGCATGCTCAGGAGTAAGTGACGGCCTCCTGCTCTTCTTCCTACAGTTGGACTCTTTATTCCAGTCTTGTTGGACGCTGTTTTTACTTCTGCTTTCATGCTTCTCCACTTTTTATTCCACTACTACTAAAGTTTCTAGAAGATGCAATCAGAACTCTAAATGTTTTGCAATGCTCTGCACTTGGTGTGCACAGCAGAAGTCTGTCATCTCTCTTATCCCTGTGCCATCATTGGCTGGGGGGACCACACACCGACTGAACTGATTGTGGTGGCTGCTTAGTGTCCAGCGCTCTGATGTTCATGTGGGCAGCTGTGTTCAGTCTGAAGGTGCTTTCCATTCCACTATTTATGCTTCCTCTGGAACAGGAAGGCAACGGTAAAATGAGCAGCCAGGCTGCATTACTGCAGATGGATGATGGCACCATCAGTGAGTAATTATTCATGTTCATCGAATAAAAATACTGCATCCGTGTAGACGCTGAATCATGAATACATTATCTTTTATGAGCCCAAAGACTCAGGGACACCCCCCCAGGCCAACAGGTGGCACAGGCGCAGTCATCAACACTGGTCCTGTAATATCAGCTTGAGCCTTATCAGGACGTCACACTGATGCACAAACTCATAAGAGTACAGATTTAATTTTGGCTGTAACAACTGGAGCTGTTTTATTGCTCCTTCACATTCATTCTGTTCTTCCAGTAGTTCTTGGTGGTATTTATATTCTGTCATGCTCTGATGCCAGCACGTGCTTTTCTTTAAAACTTGCTCAATCGTTTCTACGTGTGACAGTTGAGGTGTGGTGCGTCAGGAGTAGATGCAGTGCAACAACCATTGGTCTTCAAATAACTACTAATATGACCGAGTGCGTTAAAATGCTATCGAAGCCCATCCCCTAGCAAGGACATCCTGTTAAAT